GCGAAACGAGGCCCTTGGGCAACTTAGCCAGACCGGAAGCCAATGAATTGAAACCTTAAAACATCATTTTAAAACAATCTGCACTGATACTGGTGCCGCTGTACTCTGAGTTTTGGGTGCCGTTGTCTTGGGTGCCGTTGTTTCAGCATCAGTGCAAAAATTGCCCCCTCGATCAGTAGCCAGTTTTTCCGGAAGGGTAACAATATTGCTTGCCCTAAACCAGAAGCCCCCAGCATTTTGGACCCTGCAGACACCTTTGGACAGCTGCCACAGGGGGATGGGAGCCAAGCCGGTCGGTCAGTCAGTCATACCTTTTGTTGGCATACTCGAACATCGTACAAAATAGGAACAAGCAAAAAATACAGTTCGAGATTAAGAACAATAGGCTAATATATAAAGGGAAAGGTAAAGGTTCCCTTGCTCGAAAGCCAGTCGAATCCGACTCTAGGGTTGCGGTGCTCATCTCCATTTCAAAGCCGAAGAGCCAGCGCTGTCCGAAGACGTTTCCGTGGTCATGTGGCCGGCATGACTAAACGCCAAGGCGCACGGAACGCTGTTACCTTCCCACTGAAGTGGTACCTATTGATCTACCTGCAATTTCTTGCTTTCGAACTGCTAGGTTGGCAGGAGCTTGAACTAGAGATGGGAGCTCACTCCGTCTTGCGGCACCCGGGCCTCGAACTGCTGAACTACCGAGCTTCCACAGCCTGCAGTTCAGCGTCTTAACCACTTGAGCCACCGCAGCTCCAGGCTAATATATACATATATATATAATTAATGGTGAAACATGCCCCTCATACATTTTTTTATAACTTTATTTTTTTTAGAATTTTCTCTTAATTATACAACAATATAACAACAAAGCACAAAGTGCTAAACAAAATAACTGCTTGAAACATGACAACAGATTCAACTCCATAAAGGATATAACATATTCTCAACATTAATAAAACCAACTTAACATAATATAAAATCAACATATTTAGTAGGTAGTGCAGTCACATTATCATTTACATTATTTATATAGTCAAAAAACATAAACCATTTTTCCAAAAATCTTGATTTCCTTTCTGGATAGTCTGCCTCTAGCAACTATGGCCCTGTCCATACGAGGCGGGAGGGGGAGGGAACGGGGGTGGAGCAAACGGGCGCGATCCCACGGCAACATCTGGGAATTGTTGCCTGCCCGTCCCTGTTCCGTCCCAAACGGCGATACCGCGCTATAAAAAAGAACCACCTACCTAGGTGGTTGTATCCCTTCCAGCGCCGCAAGCTGGGCCGTGGGATCAGGTGCCGCGTCCTTGCGCCGCCGCATCCCGGCCCCCGGGCGTACTGCGCAGCCTCCCCCTCCCATCGGACTTTCCTCCTCGGCATCTGATTGTGCCGGGGAGCGATGCGCCACGGCTGAGGGGATCCGTGGGATCCCGCTGCGGCGTCTCAAGTTCGGTGCGGCCCTGATTAGCCGCGTTTCAGCCGTCCCGTGTGGCAGCAGCCTATGTTGCTATTTTATACATAACCACAATGTCCCATAACTTTGAAAAACATTGTTTTACATTCGGAATTTTCTCTAATTTCCAAACTTGAGCTACTAATGTTTTAGCCGCTATCAGCATTAAGGAAATTAATTCTTCAGTTGTTTGAGAAAAGGTCCCTTTGTCCCAATGATTTAACAAAATAGATTCAGGGGTATTTGGCAAATTTATTCCCAAAATGGTGTCGATCTTTGTAATAATTAGATTCCAAAATTCCTGAATCTTTGGACAGGGCCACCAACAATGGAAAAGGGATCCAGTCTGGTTACAGCCTTTCCAACATTTCCCCTCATAAATTTTAATAGACTTCTCCAGGGATTTACTAACAGCCCTTGTGATTTCTATTTCATTATCTTTTAATAAGCAGCGATAGTCAGATTCAGTTACCAGATTACAGGGAGGGAGAAATAGATTACCAAACAGTTCCCTCCGCGGATTAGAATATAGCTGGCAGTCCAGCAATATATGTTGGATGGAAACTGTCAGGGGTCATTTCGTAGAAAAAGAGGTGAAGTAGCTCATTAGCATAATTCATTAGCATAACATTTGCATATGCCACACTCCCTGACATCAAAGGAAGTGTGTCAGAAGGCAACACCCACCGCTCAGGCTCCCCTGGACTGTTTTGGATTGCTAGCTATTGGGGTGGGAGGGGACATGCAGATCTATCCTCACAGAGGAGGAAGAGCTTGTACCTGAATAAAACTTGGTCTTAAAGGTGCCATTGGACTGTCTTGGACTGGGGGGAGCTCTGCAGCTTACCTGGCTGCTTCTTGCTCTGACTGAGGGCTGCTGGGAGCAGGGGGTGGGGCTTGTTGCATGTGCCCGCCCCCTGGGCTCTTTATTGCCGGAGCTCCGCTCCTGTGCGCTCCTGCAGGAAATGACCCCTGGAAACTGGAATGTTTGCCCCACAAGGACAGGCTCTCTCACTATATGGAATTTGGAGGAATCTACCCTAAACAACGTTTGAAAGAAAGGAATTCATCCTAGCCAACATAAATGCTCTCCTTTGTTGAGGGCTTTCAAGATCACATAAATAGTTGGCCATTTTCCCAATGGGTTGAGCAAGGCCATATATAATATTGAGCCGGGCATAACTTTGTAAGTTCTAAATCAAGGAGCCTCTGTTTAATTCATCTAAAATTATAGGATTCATCAGATAGGAAGAAGTCTTCCATTGCAACTCCTATGTATTGAAGCTTATCTATAATCCTGCCCAATCACACAGCATTATAAGCGTCTTTTTTAAGATAGCTAAGCAAGCGGTCCGATTCTGCCCTATAATAAATTCGAAGCCAATATTTGAAAGTTAGGAGCCATGTTTTGGTTTCTATTAGGTGCAAACCTGTTTCCGCAATAATGGCTGTCAGAGGGGGAAGAGCCAGTCACAAAATGGCTGCCACAAGAGGCGGCGCCAACCACAAAATATCACGGAGTGACGTTACGCCTCACTCTTACAGTAACTCTTCAACATTTCGAGCAGAAGCGCTGTTTTAACGGGACGCTTTTTAAAACGAACAGATAGTTTAAAAACGTTCCCTTGCATGCGCACAGCTTGCTTTCAGTCACACAGGGAAGGTCCTTGTGCTGTGGAGGCAGCTGCTGCTGAAGCAACGTTTTGGAAAATACGCAAGCCAATCAGCTCTCCAGTGGGCAGTCTGAAGCCCTGCTGGGCAAATGCCCCATCCGGGCAAGACACGGACAAATATTACAGACGTGTTTCTATTGGAAAATATGCAAATTTGCTTTTAATAATATTGATAACTTTAGATGGGGAGGGAGGGGAGAAAGAGAGAAGGAAAGAAAGGTGGAAAGAAAGCAAATGGATGGGGGAGGGAGCTCAGAGCGGCTTACAAACCCCTTTCCCTTCCCCTCCACTCAACAGACACCCTGTGAGGTAGGTGGGGCTGAGGGAGCTCTGACAGGAACAGCTGTGCCAGAACTATGGCTTGCCCAAGGTCATCCAGTCAGGTGCAAGTGGAGGAGTGGGGAATCAAACCCGGTTCTCCCAGATTAGAGTCCGCGCACTTCACCACGACACCAAACTGGCTCAGGCGGAGGGAGGGAGAGGTTGAAAGAAAGCAACTTTAATGCTAAATGTGTCCTGCAAGCCCCGCCCCCACCCCCACGACAGCTAGCTTGGCTTGGAGG